GGAGAAGGAAACAAGAAACCCAACCCAAGGAAAAGAGTTAACTCCAGTGTTAATTCGTTCTTGGTGTGTCTTTGTGCACAACGTTGCTGAGGGAATCAACTCTTGAGTTAATTCCCCATCGAGTGCAGGGTTGAATAGGGCTTGAAGATGAAGAATTAACACCGGAGTTAATTCTAATTAACTCCTGTATTCACTCTCTTCCCGAGTCGAGCCACCGCGGAACGGCGACGCCGGTCGTGCGGCGTGCCCCCCGGAAGGTCCGGAGGTCCTGGAGATGGGCGCGGTGGATTTTGCGCAAACGGCGGGGCAGCTGGAGGAGGCGTTGCAGAGGGATCTGCGCGAGCGGCCGCCGGTGCAGCGAGCAGGACAGAAGCTGACGAAATAGGATGAAAGCGAGGTCATGAAGTGAGATGATGATTCATATTGAAGAGTATTGTTCAATTCAAATGGGGGGGTCTTCATCAAGCAGTTGTCTTAGATCGAGGAATCTGCAGACCATGTTGTTTGAGCCGCTGATTCTGTGGACGAGATTGATTTGGACGTAAAAACGGGCAAGTCCAATCACAAAGTCCACAAGAAGTGATTGGCTGAGAATTGACGAACTTTGTTTGGACGTGGTGATACAATGCTTTCTTTGTTTGTGGCAAACATGGGTGTTTCGGTTCGGTTCGGTTCGGCAACACATGGTTGAAACAACAGCGTTCTCAGAAGACGAGACCCCGCAAAAAGCCTAACGGTATGCCCTGCATCCAGAAGTCATGTTCGGATGTCGTTGTGTCAGCGGCCGGAAAGACACCCCTTGCTTGCGTTTGGAGCCATGCCCAAGCTGCAGCTCTCAAGAAGGTGCAGCTGGCAAAGTGTAAATGTAGACAACTCACACCTGCGACCTAGATCCAGTTGAAAAACCTGGACCTTCCAAAATCATCCATTGGAAGTTCACTGCGCCGCAGTACTGGCAAAAAAATGCAGCCTTTATTCTTCATGATTGAGATCTTCAACAAAGACCAAAACCTGAACAAACATATCCGAGCGTTACGACCGGTCACTTCATCATTTACCATGTTCAACTTTGTACTGTATACTTTTCTCTTCATATTCCAAAGATCTTCACCCCCACAACACCTCAACTGTGCCCATCTCGTCCGCTCGAGGACTGCCGCTCCGCCCGTCGCCCTTGGGCACTGGCGCCGTGGTGCGGCGGGAGGGCGAGGACGGCGCTTGGGAGGTGCGAGTGAGCCTGGATCTCCAGGGTCCCAGCAGCCGAAGAGTCTCGGTGCCAAGAGGGAGGATGGGGTGAGGAGTGAGGATGGGGAGAGTCTTGGACGTTTTGGCAGGAGGCATGTTCATGTTTTGGGTCAAATATGAAAGCAGCTCGACTACCATGGTAGGTGAACATTCAGCTGAGGATGAGACTATTCTGAATATCAACACGGGAGGGAGCGTTGCAGGTGTGTTCTGTCAAACAGCCTTGTTTGAGGGGAGATTGGGGAGGTGGGGTGGGTGCGACAGCGGGAGTATGAACGTGGATGGTGAGTATGAACGTGGGCGCAGTGTGGGTGGAGTATCATTATCATGGTCTCTGATTTGGTAGACAGACGGTTCCTTTGGAAGTTCTGGCAGGCTGCAGCTTCGACCTCAAGTTGTTTATTCCTCCCTTTCTTGCCTTGTAAAGTGGGAAGATGGTCCACCTATCTCCTGTAGATATGGTGAAGCTGCAGTCTGGTTAGGACTTGATTTTTGGGGATGAACCAGGCCTGGTGTGGCCTCTCCCTATAGGCGGTGTGGCCCAGGTCTGGTGTGACCCAGGTGTGACTGCTGCTGAGGTTTGCAACTCTTGGGGCTTCTGTCTTTGATGGATCTGAAGAAACGCAAGGACGGAGCTGTTCGGTCTATTCCGCCAAGAATGCGTGAGCTATGGAGAGGGGAGCTATTGGCGGCTGATGGCGGCTCCAAAAGGGTTTTTGGATGTTTAGATTCTGCACATGAGCAACACATGAGCAACACCTGGACATGAGCAGCTCCTGTTCAGGACATGATGATGCTGGAATGTCGCTTGCCAAGAACTGATGGCTTAAGCGTTGAATGGCCAAAATGTCCAAAGAGGGCTAATTGGGGAAGCACATCACCAAATCTGCTGGGCCTGTAGGTAGTGACCTTTCAAAAAGAGACATGTCCTTTGCGGGAAGAGTGAATTTTTGGACCAGGCTCAGGCGCTGCAAACTTGCAGTTTTATTGTAGTGATGCACCTTCCAGGTAGCTTAAAGCCAGGTCTTGACAACCTCAAGGACCACGAACGAATTATTGGGGATTGACGAGCAAACGAAGAAAAAACCCGTGACATAGTGACATAGTGGCCCCTCGAATACGTCCAGTTGTAGCTGGATCCACTGTCTATAGTTCCTGTAGTGGATCCCGATCTATGAAAAAACCACCCATCTTCACCGACCTGCTCGAGGCGCCTGGGATGATGTCATGGGAGAAGCCGCCTGTGAACACCGTGGGCGACGAGTCCTGGAAGAGGCGCGAGTCGGCCACGCACCGGGTCACCGAGATGAGAAGCCACTAGCCCTAGCCCTAGAGGCCCCGAGGTCCGGAGTCTGGTCCCCTTCAACGAAAGAAACCAATACCAAGCCACGTCCGAAGATGTTAAGCTGATTTAACATGCTCTTCCCCCACAGGCAAATGTTGATATACAATATAATGATATATAGGAGGTGATGCTGGAATCAGGGGTCAACCGGAAGTTTCTCCTGGGTCCACCGAGCGGTCCGTCATGGGAAGGGTTTTGTTTGGTCAAAGTAGTTGGCCAGCAGGGTGGCGGATTTCAGACATTTTGGGAAGATGGGAATCAATCAACATCACTTAAACGCTCCATTCCAAAAGTCGCCCAGGTTTAACATGGAAGACCCGACAGTCGGATTGGCCAGTGGCGAGGTTTGCCATGTACATGTGTATACATGTGTTAGCACATATATGGCACCAGGGTTGCACATCGGTCTACTGCCATGACCCACAAGACCCACAATCACCTCGGCCTGTTGGGCTGTTGGCAGCGAAAAGCTGTGCCGTCCTTCCCCCTTTGACCACCTGACCCTAGCAGCTAAATCTTCATAATTCATTCCCCCGACCCGGAACGGCACCACGATTGGTTTGTGTGTTGATGTCGGTGCTTGAAGCAGTGAAGCATTTCATGTCATTGAGCATGCATGATTGACCAACTAAAGGTGTTATTGTTTCACTCCCGCAGCCATCACATTTAGATTTAGGTATATAGTGTTGTGCCTTGCAGCTTCCTGTATTGGATGCGTTTTGCAGATGCAGGAAGCCACGCAAAGTTTGTTTTGGCCTTCTACAGTTAATGGTGTCAATTGCTCAATTGAAGCTGGGGATCGAGGCTGGCGTGGTGATCATATTTGGCTTGCACCTACCATCATCACAGCATCCTACTATGCTCTTCATACACTCCTGCGGATGTGCTTGGCAGCAAAACTCGGTCAAGACCTGCTGAAGCATTGCCCACAGGCAAATCTCAAAGAAACGGTGTGCAAATCCTTCGAGACGATATCTGTGACAACTGCATTAGTGATGACCACCGTTGCAGGATTGCTCATAAGTGTCCAAGAAATAGCACCAAATGGCTTCTGCCTGGACCCACTGTCCCTGATGCACGCAAAGCGAGCTTATGTAACCTTGTGTCTCATTTGCATCCGTGCTTGCGTCCAGACTGTGCTTTATTGTGTGATCAACCTTTTTTACGTGAACTCCTTCACTGATGAGGACACCGTTCAGTTTATGAAAGGCCAAGCTGCTGCAATGGGTGCCACAGCCATCACCTTAGCAGAATCTTACACGCTCTTTGGCTTGGTCATCATGGTGTGGGTAGGCCCTTCCTACGGTTTGGAACTCTTCTTGATTGCATTGGTCGGAGTGGTACACCTTCTTTTCTCTGTGCTTCGACACTGGCGAAGACTCAGCCAGTTCAGTCCCTCATATGAGAGCCTTGGGAAAAGCCCCAGGTTTGCAGAAGTCCGCACATCTGACTGTTCTGAAGAGTCAGAGGGAATCTAATCAACGCAGGAAGCAAGAAAACGAGAAAGCAAAGCACATTGATCGGTGCAGTCCCGGTCCTTTCTGTTCATCGATTTTTGTGAGCGAGTTGCATGCTGCAAATGCTGCATGCTTAATTCCGAGTTCTCGCAGGAATCAAGCATGACCATGAACACCTGTCCTTTTGGGGGGAACACCATGGAACCAAAGAACCAACAAAGAACACCATGGATGGTGAACTGCTCCATGGAACCAATGCCAGGCCATTCGGAGGACCTTGGAACAGCTTCCGACGCTCGGTGCTTGAGAACCGAAGCCTGAAGCTCCCGCTGGAGCGATTCGCTGGGTTTCAAGGTGATCTCCTCCAAAAAAGATGTTTAATATGACTTATAATATGACTTAATTAGTCTCATGTCCTGTAAAGGTTTTTGATTCATCTCACTTATCTGTTAGTTTTTTAATATCCAATTGGTTTGATTGGCCAAAGGGAACGTCAAGATCCCTCGTGCTCCCTCGAAGGATTTTCCGGAATGCAATCAAAAGTAGGACTAAGCTGGAGCGAAGTTCAATCTTTTGCAGCTTAAAGTAGACAGTAGACATGTGAGTCGAACTTGTGGTTTACACTGGCTGAAAGGCATGTTCCCATGACTGGCTGCTCCTTGCTTGGCTTAGACAAGCAGGGCGCAAATACCCAATTCCGGTCCAGTTTTGAGAAATGTATTTCAATAGTCAATAGGCATTTTCTTCCAAACTGATCGGGTTGTGACAGGGAGTGGTAACCTCAATGCATGTTGGTCGAAGTGTTGGCGGTTTCAGCAGTTTCAGGCCTCCCCAGGTGTGTGTCTTCACCGCCCAGGAGACCCTCTCTGGCCCGAGCGACGGCGACGGAACGGGAGTCGATGTGCATTCAGCTCCTGGAGAATGAGAGGAAGGTGGGGGACCTTAGACCACCAGTGGTCGACTGGAGTCTTCCACTCCAATTAAGGGCCCTGTATAAGGGTACAAATGTAGAGTACACAAGGATTCAACGGAGTAGATCTAGAGTGTAATTCAGCGAGTGCGTCGAGTGCGGAACACCCGGGGCACCTTCGACTCACGACGACGTCCGGTTCTTTTGCCCCGAGCTGTTGGAAGCACAAGATGGATGTCGAGTATTCAGCAATTCTGCTGGTGTTCCCTCAATAAAATGTGGCACCTAGTAGGTGACTACCTCCTGGACAAGCCAACGCATTTGACCCTTTTCATCGCTCCTATAGGAACAGCAATTCGGGGCAATTGGAACCAATTCGATCCCCTTGAAGCGAGGAATTGGCCGAATGACACCAACCTTTCGGCCAGACACCGCCTTTGACACTGCCTTCGCACGCCTTCCTTGGGTGAACAGCCGCCGGTGGGGGGGGCTGGCGCCGACCAGGTGCTGGAAGGAGCTGGGACAAGGGGCCGGAGCGGTGTGGTGGGGAAGAACAGCCCCGAAAGGCAGAGATCAGTCTTATAGTAGGATTTGGAGGCGCACAAGTAATTTAAGATCATTTAAGACATTTTAAGACTTCTGTGCTTGTTCTTGTTTGTTCTTTTAGATGTTGTATTTGTGTCTTGTTTGAAAGAACACATCGATATGTGTCCTTTATATTGTAGAGGAGCGTCTTCTCAAAGCACACCCAATCTGCTCGAGGAAGACTTTGCCCGTGCTGCACCAGGAGCCCTGGAAGTGCAGCACGCTGCACTGTCTGCCGCCTCACCCCCTGCACCGCCGGTTCCCACGATGCGGGCATATCAGCCTTCAGTGGAGCCGCTGTTGGAGGCAAGTTTGGTGAAGATGACAGAGGAGTTGACTTATGGTCATTGGTCCACAGGTGCCTTTTGATCAGCTGGCCGTTCAGCAACTCTAATTATGGTATGGTTCTTGTGATCTTTACTTGCCTTGATCACCGTGTTTCCAACGTTTTTCTTCAACCACAAAGGAAGGAAAAGCTGAGCTGGACCGTTGCACCGGTGCCGGAGGTGCTCCAGACTCTGAAAGCGCGGTTTCAGGCCCAGGCCAATGGGTGTCCTGGTACTTATTCAACAACAAGCACATAGCCTTTTTGCATATTTTATATAGATCATATTAGATCATTAAGTCTCAACTAGGCTTTTCATTCACTGGACAGAGTCATACTATGTCATACTGGATCCCACCACCGATCTTGCTCCAGCCACGTCGCAGGAACATCTTCCGGAACTCCAAGGGCAGCAGCTGTCAGAGGTCGCCGCATCCGCCGCGCCCTGGGCAGTGGATTGGGTGGTGGTTCCCCTGCGGACTTGGTTAAGGTGGTAATTATATACATGAACTGAAGTTGCAGAGTTGGAAACAAATCCATCATCATTCGTTGGTAACTCATAATACTTCTAAAGAATGCATCTAACAAGCCCATCCCTCCGAAAAGAATAATATACATCATACTACATCTAAAATATCAATCTCTTTAAAGTTACCCTGTGACCGAAGAGTCATCAAAGCGGCACATCGACACATGTCAAACAAAGGTGGCACTTTAACTGTTCATGGGCCGTTCCATCCTTTTCAGTTCCTGAAAGGTTTCCTCCACCCTTGTTTGACATGTGTCATTCAGTTTGAAAAGGTGGCCCTTTTCATGTGCCGTTCCATCCGTAGATTTATTTCGGAGCGACTTGCGTGACGCTCTCTCTCCAGGAGCTCTCGGTGACTGTGGCGCTCCTCCTGAGCGACGGTCAGCTGGGGTTGGAACTGCCTGGGCACCCGGCAGAGGCGGTGGAACAGTGGATGGATTTGGAAAGAGACGATGAAATCCTCCAAAAACGCATGAATCATGTCATCACCCCAAGTGATGCTGGAAATGAGCTGACACACCCTAGAAATCGGGTGTACATTCGAGTGCTTATCCGAAGGATCATAAGGGGTGAATTGATTGATGTTCATTTTTCTGATAGAGTTATTGAAGTAATTTGAAGTAGAGATAGACTTCTCCAAGCACCACAGTACAACCCACGTGTCACACAACTTCTGGAGTGGTTGACGTGTTCGACCCAGACCGTCAGACCGTGGATGATCGGGGCGGTGAGCGATCCCTCCGTTTCACCCGAAGAAGTCCCGTCCAGATGATCCACAGCTGTGGATCACTAGCAGTACGACCATGTTTGACAGTCGGACGGTTGATTTAGAGCAGCCCAAAACTTCTTATTGTAACAATGATAGAGAGGCGAGAGGGTGAGACGTAAGATGATGTAAGATGCATTCTTGCAAGTAGAACCACTTCTCGGTAGGCTTGGAGTCTAACGTAACAACGCTGATCTCTGGTTCGCGGTCCACTGCCCACGGCCATCGGTTCACCTCACCTCGTGCCGGCTTAGGACCGATCCGACCAATGAGTCGGAGAAGAAGTCTCCAATTGAGGTGGAGATGCAATGATGTTGAGGGGAAGAAGATCGGTTTCATGTGAACAAACATGTGGGCTATTTACGGTTACTTATAGTGCACTATATGTTCTGAAAAATCGTCGACCGTTGGTGAAAGAACAGGGTATCATGACGGAATTCCCGCAATCCTCAAAAGCATGGTATGGATTAATATGGTACCTTGAAGCTTTGTTGGAGTGCCAGCCACCCATGGTCAAACACCCTGTCAAGAGTCCGGTGTCAGCTGCGTTCTAGGTGAATGAAGCTGATGAGCCAAGCACATGACTCGCTTGTGCTCGAAGGACTCGCTCTGTGTGTCCAGAGTCCTGTGTCTTCCGCGCAGGTGCTAGTGCTCGAAGCATTGTTGGCCCAGAAGCTGTGGCAGGAGACGAGAGTTTGGCAGTTTGGCGGCTGGGGGTGCTTCAAACAGCTGGGCGGTGGCCTGAGCTATAGAGTAAGTTTACTCCAACTTGGATGTGCATTTGAAGAGGAACGCCTGGGAGGTCTTCCTGTCTCCCACACTCCGCCACTGGATCCCACCATAGAGAACACGTTGGATGCCTTTAGCTCTCGGGTTATAGAATCAGGTGGCTTAGAATGCGGACGTGCTGTACTCCTTAAGTGGGCTTACAGGATTTTGGTTCATTGGTGATATTCGCATCAGTGCTTGTAGCAGCCCATCCTCAGAAGCCAGTCTCTCTCCAGTTTCGTAGGTCACTCTAGAAGGGGGGGTTGGTGAAGAAGGTGACAAGAGCCATCATAGGGCGAGACCGTTTACGGAGGCACGGGTGATGTCCCAACCCACCCCCCTGATGAATTCCTCGCGTGTGACCCCTGGTCGGAGCCGGGGCCTCTTCCAGGAGTCGAAGGACTCCAAGGCGCGGAAAAGGGCAGTGTAACTGGAAGAGACGAGGGGAAGAGACGCTCATGCAGCTACCATAGCCCCTGGGGATGCTTCACATTCCCCAGGGGGTTCTATGTGGTCTAGGTCCTAGGTGCTTTTGTTGCAAAAGAAAACAGGGCCACCGCAGCCCAGTTGCCGGCCCAGATGTTCCGATTGAATGGCCCCCAAATGCCAGGACTCCCTGCAAACAGAGGGGAACTCGGTGAGGTGGACGAGTTTGTATGCGGTAAAGCAACTATATAAGAGTCTGATTCCGTGTCAACAAGCCAAGTTCATCCAAGTTCCTGGAGAGGATTTGTTTGTCCGCTCAGCTGAGCAGAAAGGAAGTGGACACCTCATAGCCTCATAAGTTTGATATGATGGGGTGCACTCTATCTTCTTTTGCAGTTTTATAATCTCAGGTAGACTTCGCCGGAGCCAGCTGGGGGGTCTCCTGCCAACGAAGACAACTGCGAACTGTTGATTATCCCTGCTTTGCTTTCAAATGATTTACATCTCAACGGTTCGTTTCACCTTTGTTAAAAAGATGCAGTTGCGCCGACCTTTCGCCATACCCTTCCAAAAGAGGCTGAGGGGACGTATAGGTGGACCCATAAATCCGGAGGACTTATAGATCACTTTTGGCGCAAGCACGCTTTTGGGAAGAAGGCTGGCAATATGAGAGAAAAGTAATCTGGAACTGATATGAGAAGCAGAAATAGTGAACGCTTGCTGGCTACATGCAAGATTTGCACACAAACAAGGCATGAGCTGTTTGCCGCCAATGCATTCACTGCAACGCGACATTTCTCCGGGCCTGGAACGAAAACATGTTTCTTTCCGAAGCAACACGATTCAGCTCGGCCAGGATAGCGGTAGCCTGCTCGGTGTTGAAGCTTCAATTTTCAGTAGGGGCGCGTGAAAGTATAGGTGTAACGTCCATCGTGTGAAAATTGAACTCTAATTGCAAATCACTCGGCCAAAAAACGTGTGTTTGGGGCGGCAATTTCGCAGTTCGTGTTGCAGAGTGCTAAAAAGAAACCATGACCCCACTACTTTATAGACGAAATCGAAGTCCTTTCTACATTGATTCTACATCCTTGGTGCTCGCAGGAGCGAAATGGCTCGGGACTGGGCGACACCCGCGATATGCACGTGTCCCCCTCAGGTGACTGCAGCATCGAGGCTTTGATGAGTCTGGTTCATCTGCAGGGGGTCACGCTGCAGCGAAGATGGGAAGTGGTTCCCTATATAGTGGACAGGGCGACGGAATTACAGGCTCCGGTGTCCCTCGGCGGACTGGTGCACTATATGCGGAGAAGGACCACTGGGTTGCTATACGCAACACGACCAGTGGTCTGTTTCTGCTCGAGAGCCTGAACCCGAAGCCCCATGCAGCTACCTTGATCGTGGCATAAGCTTGAGTTGCAGGAGAGGTAGGGGGAAGCAACTCGCTCAACTCACTTGGCGATTGCCCCGGTTAAACTTTGTTCATTGGTCGTCGAAGGGTAGACCTGATGCTATACAAAAGTCCTAAATCAACTTGTATGTTGGATTTGGAAGATTTTTTGCAAAAAAACTCGAACATTGGATTGGAACATTCAAATTTCTTGGAATTGCTTGGAATTTATCGCTGACAGCCTCTATAATCTCTTAGTTATAAGTGAGTTGTAACTTTAGTTAGGGAACTATCAAGTAAACTTGTATTTCGATAACAGAACTTGTATTAGGATAAGTATGTGAAACTATATGTTATTACTTAAGGAACTTAACATAAAGTTATAACTTAGTAAGGATAGAACAAGTTAGATGTAAGTACGTTATAAGTAAACCGGGTGTAGTTAGGCGGAAGTTATAACTTAGTTAGGTCTTAGTTATACAAAGTTGTTTCTAGTTCTTCGTAGTCACAAAACTGCCTCGTCGCAGAGTGGGCCCACTGCTGGAAGTCCAGCTAATCCAACAATACGACTTCAAAGCTGCGAATCATACCACCTATTCAAACTTCCCGGCCCGACTACGGTAAAAAAATACACACCCATGTGTGTGTGTGTGGAATCTGCTCAGGCATCCTGCAGCAGCTGTAGTTCTTCAAGAGGAATTTGTGAATTGGAGTGTCAACGACATGGAGCACTTTGTTTTGAATACGCTTCTTGACCCTGACCGTTGGAATCTTCGATTAAAACACTTGTCATGTATGCCTTTTCGCTTCGGGTGTGCAGGAAGAAGCCCAACCAAGCTTTGTGATTGTCACGGCAATTTATATTTACAGCATCGCTGTTGAACTTCTTCGGTTGTTGACTTGTGCGCGCGTTATGGGCAATTCGAAGCCAAAGGCCGAGGCTTGCTTGCTCTGAAGGAAAAAGGAAATACAGCACAACTTGGCCGTGGCCGCTGGTGCAGGCATATTTTTGGAACGGCAGTGCGTGGTGGTGGTATTTTGGGGGCGAGTGGTGGTTGTGGACAGAGGTAACCGTTGTGGTTGGCGATTATGTTGAAATTGGCCTAGTTTCTTGTTGATTGTGAGGCCGTGGGTGAATGCGGGTTTTCGGGGCCACAGGGTTGGCATCCCTTTGATGCCTACGGCGAATTAGACTGGGAGCGGCGGTGGCAGGAGGAAGGCGAGACCAAATGAGATACACATGTTTTGAACAGTGTTTTTTTCAAGTTGACAGGTCGTTTGAACCACTTGCGGTTCTGCGAGTGGGTGTTGTGTCATCAATTCCCAAGCGGAATTGCACAAGAGATTGCCTGGATGGTGGAGTGAGAGGTGTATCAAAAAGAGAACAACTTGCCATGGTGGGGTATTGTAGCTGCGCATTGGGCCGCCAGCCATATGTATGTGGGATAGAAAACAATCAAAGAAAGAAGCTAAAAAGAAAACACAAGCAAACTTCAAACCTTAAACAACATTGAAAAATGAAAAAGTATAATTCTTGACAGCAAAAAGTTAAGCTTTCTAAGCTGTTTCTAAGTTATCTTCAATGTTTTTGCAAGAAAAACTTATGCTAGATACTAATTTGCCTTAGTTTTGTAAATATACTTTAAATTGCATAAATTGACTTAAGAACTTACAGAACTTGTCTAACTTACAAGTAGGTTACAAATATGTTACAGCTAGGTTATACGCAACTTATAAGTTCCATAACCAAGAACCACTCACCAAGTACAAGATGGAGTTCACGGGGGGCATGTCAGGTGCTATATAGGAACAAGAACGAAGAAGAAGATCGGCTGCGCTCAAAAACTAAACCAGGTCTGGCGTCAGCTCAAGCGGTACTTGCCGTCCAGCCTTGCCCGTCGAGAGACCCTGAGTCTCTAAGAGACTCTGAGCAAATAGGTGTGTATGTGTGGAGCATCTGTTGGCGGGACGACCACGGAGGGAATCTCAAGGATTCTCTCGCCAAGTTGGCTGCCCGGTGGAGGAAGAAGCACTAAGGCTAAGGACCTGTCTGAGAAAAAATGGCCGCGCAGACTTTGAGTCTTGGCAGTCATCTCCGAAGAGTTGTTTCGAATTGATTCGAATTGTGCGTGTTTCCAACAAAATACCAATCCTAACCGTGGTAACCGGAGTTCCACTGGGGATAAAAGGATCTCTGAAATCTGTACGCCTCTCGTGCTTTTCTCGTTGCCATTGCGACGTGCCATTCTGAAGGGCCTCGCCCTTAACAGCGCCGGTACCTCGTACGTGGTTTCCGTAACAGCCATGCGCTTGGGGCATTTCCGTCCTCAAGAATCATTCCCACAGTTACATGGAAAGTGTCCGCAACTCTTTGCCGCAACTCTTTGGGCCATTTGATCCCCATCATGGAAACGGAGAGGCAAATGCAAGAAACGTTATCCAAATTGTCATGATTGTGGTTGTTGAACAGTCATCGAAACAAGGAAACGCTGCAAAAACAAAGGGTTCATGTCTGATATCTCGGTCCCGGCTGTCGGTGGGTTTTGGACCCTCAATGGCGCAGGTGAGTCGATTGCTGGAGGCGCGTGTGCTGCGTATATGCGATGGGTTGTGCTTGGAAACAGATGGGGAATGATCATCCACCGCTTTTTTTGATGGTTTTTGTCAAAATCTACAAGTTTTGTTTTTTAAGAGGTTTACCCCCATGTCCAAACCCCTTTATTTGGCGGTGTCCCACCTGTCAGCTTTACGAACCCCCCTTCCAGGCGGATCCCCCGCCGCGGTAGGTCGGAGCTCTACGGTTTCGCTTGGGCGACTTTGCGATTGCCCTCCACGACTTGACGTCCGAAGCGCTTGGATTGCCGCGGCACGACTCGTTGTTTTGACGGCAGGCGATGCGTAGCGCAAGCACCGCGGTTTCCCTCAGGTAGAAAGCTAAGCATGGGTTTTTGATCGTGGTCGAAGCCGTCTCCTTTTTCAATGACGGGGTGCCACGCTGAGAAATGGAACATTATTGTTATGCCAAGTCCAACAGTTTCCATGTTAATGGGGTTCGAGAGGGGTCTGACCTGCTTAGCGAGAGCACTTGGGAGAATGCATGTGATAATTTCCAGATTGTTTGTGGTCTTGACGGGTTGACAGATTTTTGAGAAGAACTTCCCAGTGTTTAAAGAAACGGCACGCGATGAGGTGCGCCACGCCCATTGCAGAGTCTCGCCAAATCCCAGACTTCCAATTGCAGGTCGTGCATGTCTTGTCGTGTGTCCTTTTTTCAACCAAGAACCGGGACAAATGTCAGAACTGTCTCGCCTTGCATGATCAGATTGAGGAATGCAGCACTCATACTGCTGTACCAGTGAATCCATGGCATGGTCAGTATGACACGAAGCTGGATAGCAATCCGTTTTCTCGTTATCCCCAAGATATGTGTATATGCATGTGCATGACACCAAGACCAAAACAGTCTTTGTACGCATTCTTTCACGAGGGTTGGCCTGAAAGATGAACAAACTACAAGCGATCTAGGTCAGGTGTGAATTGACTGGAATCCTTCAGCTCCCCAGCACCTTTTCATTTAGCGAGAACACACCAGACTTTAGGCTGGTGGTGGAGCAAGAGCCTGCCAACAAGGAGGCCGCGGCAACTGATGGCTGACACATGTTGGGACTTGCAGGCCCGTTGTTATCACAAAACAGTTTGCATCAAAACCTCGAAAGGGTTTGGAAGATGATTTGTTCCTGCACCAAGTGGATTTAAAGCTGCAGCCACATTGTTTGGGGTTGCAACACATGTGACCATGGTCCCCAAACCTCTATTCGCCTCGATGACAGCCGAACCGCAGGCCGTCCGGCTGTTGGAGCGTTGTGAGAAGGAAGTGGCGCGCGAAGTGCAAGAGAAGGCCGACCACGTCGCTGAAGGTTTCGGTCGAAAACGGGAAGACGAATTGAGGTGAGGCTGGTCGCCCGTGGTGAACTGGAGAACTGATGAGTTTAATGCTGCTTAGCAGGTTCCAACGATTCTGAAGAAACATGCATTTTGAGTGGTTTCTTTAACCCCACGGGTGTGTTTGCGAACATTATGCACCAAGGTGCAAAACATGCAAAGATTCAGATCACTAGCTGCAGAGGTCTTTCACTCGTTTCTTCCTCTCCAAAAAACCCCCAGATTGCCCACGGAGTCGATCCCTGGAATGCTTGTTCTATCTTGTTCTTGTCCAGATGACCATTCAGATGACCCAAAGAATATCAACGAATCAGTGACATTCCGATGACCAAAGAAGCAGATCTTCACATGACCAGAGGATCAGATCTTCCAATGACCAGAGGATCCACTACCATCACTGGACATGGTTCGCTTAGCTTAGCCCGCTTCCTTCGTCGCGAACCCGGAGGCGGGCTACCTCTACTCCCTAGAGTGGTCCGACGGTGAGGCTCACAGCACGCTCCATGCTCCGCACGCTGCTCCAGTCAAGACAAGGGGCCAAGGGGATACCGGTGGTTTTGGGGTGAGCAATGCAGCTATTCTGTGCGTTTGAGGCCAATGCAGTACTTTCTCCAAAGCAACCAGGGCCATTGGCCCGTGTGTGTTTGGAAGCCCGTAGTTCTTTTGGGGCGATCCATGGTTTTGCTTGATGTTTTCCTCTCCAGTGTTTCTCCAGATCAATTTCTCCAAATCATCTTCCGTCAGAACCCGGAAGCCGCCGGAAGCCCCGGAAAAAAAACGATCATTCTCGATCATTCTCGATCTTCGGACCCCTCACATTGGGGCCGCCGGGCCGGCAAACGAATCGTTCGACGTGTGTGGTGCACCGTTCGAGGTAGAATTTGTTGGGGGGACCCCAAGACCATTCCCCATCGGAAGTGAATGTGAAAGAAGATAGATTCATCTGAAGTGAGTATTACTCAGTTATTCCGAATGGGTCTAGTAATGTTGGCCATTAGCCCTGCCATATTCTGGGATCCTTTGCCTTTTGCAGGATGCTTCGGTGGTGGAGGCTGGGTGCCCGAATTTCATCCAGCTGCTTCAGAAAGTGACCGCATTTGGACATCATAGGGAAGGTGTTCAGTGTAGTTCAAGCAACTTGGCAACTTGGCAAGTCATATTTGGTATAATTATGCTGTATCAGTCGTGTTCTTGGGTCTAGTGAGCATGCTCATTCCTCATGAACTTCTATGTAGGTTTGATTGACTATACATTGACAATTTTGGTCATGCATATTACTTATTGGTTCTATACTAAGAATTCCAGTCATTTGCATTCGTGTCAAGCTATGCCATGAGATAGCCTGGCCTTGCCCTGACTTTCTGGTGTTCTCAGATCACCCGAAAGGATCCCCCTGATCGATGGGAGTCGCGCGACCGAGGCACTGGAAAGCGAAAGGCGAGGTGCCGAGCCGATCAAAAGCAACGAGAGATCTCAAGTGTTGGAGCCAGATGTATTGTGATTGATCACTTTGTATGTCGTAGCTGCTGGCAGAAGTATGATATAGAGGTGGATTTGTGGGTTCCAGGTTCGAGACAAGGATGTGGGGATTTGAGGTCAATGTCCCTTTGAGGTCGACAAGACTCGCTAGAGTCGGCTAGAGGACACCTTGTCAAACCACCAGGGTCACCACCCTGCCTATGGAAGCTTTGGAATCACCCACCGAACTGGCGCAGCTGGCGGTCCGCACATGTAGGTCCGCAGTGGACCGACTCCAAGGACGTCGGTTCGACAATGCGAAGCTTCACCTCAGATCCCAAGGGTCCATTTTACAAGAAACGCCATACCAGCACCCGACGACCAACAGGTCATCAATTGAAACCTGTTAGAGCCCTTCCCAAAAAACCTCCAGCCATCGGAGACCTGTTGGAGGTCGGGCGCGGTTCTGGTATGGCGTTTCTTCTTTGAGAAGAAACAGTTCATCACACCCTGGGTTTGAATCATCACACTGGGCCGAGGGTGTGGGCTGTAGAGTCCAAGGGATGGGAGAGGATGGTGTGTGCCGATCGTTTGCCCTGTCGACATACCAGGCTAAGGGAGCTGCAGGCGCAGAGAGAAGCCATGTGACTTTGGGTTGTGCGAGTGGGGAAGAGGTTGGTGGAATGCCAAAAGCAGTTGGGCTGGTCCTGAGAAGTGTTTTGCTATGATGTTTTGTTCATGTTTGTTGTTTTTAGGCATATACTTCAGGAGGAAGAATGTGTGTTTTTTTCCCCAGTTCATGCCATGTTCGTGCAACATTTATGTGGATCACGCGGTCGAATTAGGAAGTCCATGGAAGGCCAGTGTGGGACGGTCAATTGTCACCCTCTTTTATCTCCTAATCAGTGATGAAACTCCCAATCAGTCCAAAGGAAAGGCATGCTATGCCTCCATCCAAGTCGGTGTCAGGAGGACAACAATATTACACTATTACACCTCCCATGAGTTTCGGTGGTCCATAATCCCTACTGAGAGGCGCTCATTTGTGAGGCCAGCTTTTTAGCTTTTGCCTCCTGATGTTTCATGCCAGGAGCTGAGCACCACAGAGGCTCCAAACACACCGCATGCACAAAGACTGCGGGCGGTGCACTTGGTCGGCGGCACCCAGAGAAACGGCACCGCGTGGAGGTTGTGCGTGATGGAGCTCGTAGCTAGGTAGGAGCAGGAGCTCTCAAGAGTAGACAGGACGCGAGCCAGGAGTAGGCGGCCACTAATTAGTCACACCCCGTCACATCTCGCGATATTTTTGCTTGAGGGGTATTCGTGGTCACGCACTGGCTAGGTGAGTGGTCACGCAAACGCAGCGCGTGCTCGCCATGAAATGACTCCTGATTCGTGGTTTCACCATCCCTAGGAATCCAAGTACCTCCTCAAAAGGTACTTGGACCCTCCAAACCCACCCCAAACACCTTCTCAGACGGTACTTGGATCCTTAGGGCATGTTATAACGGATCTTACAGCGGCATCCAAGTTTAGAGCACCGGAGCACCGCAGGGGTCGCTTCAAAGAAATCTAAACCTTGATGGGCCATCCATTGTTGACAATAACATTCGTTGGGGGTGGTTTTGGGATATTAAATTAAGTATGTTATATGTTGTTCCTTTTTGTTCAGCCTTAACTTACTCGAGATGATTGATCCCACGGATACGGATATGTGTCAATTGAGTTGAAACCACCAATCAGTAGTGGGAGCATCAGTAGCAGTAGTAGCAGCAGTTGTTGTCGTCGTCGTTGTCCCGGATCCGTGGTGCCCAGGATCGTTTGGGTGCCAGACGCTTGGGGCTCCGGTTGAGAGAGCTGGCGCGGGGACTAAGAAAAGGGCTCTCACTAGGTTGTGTGAGTCAAGCCTTTTTTAGTCTTCAAAACAGGAGATGTTTGTTTTCTTTGTAGAATAGGTCACCCACTTTGAGTTTAGTTCGTACTCCTCCAAGTGTATGGAGCTGGTCTTGGTATGTCTTGGAGTTTCCTTTGCTTCCGAGCAGTTCAGGTGTTTGGGCAGATGACTGCACCAGCCAAAAATGACCGCCATGTCAAAGCCTACCGTCAAACTCTCCTTCCATTCCCCCAAAAACGACACGGAAAACCGTCGACCCGACCGGTCACGTAGCTGCGGATTTCTCAGGTGAATGGCTTGGAGGTGGAAGAAATCCGTGACGGTGTCGTGAAGGCGGCGCAAAAACGAGCGAGGCAGCGCTTGCGACCATGCGTCGGACAGCTTTGGGGTGTCAATCCCAAAGCTGACGGAGCACTTGGCTTTGTACAGACTCAGCATCAACTGAAGGAGGAAGGAGACAGATATGAAGAGGAGGCAACGCCAAGGCAAAAGCAACAGCACAACCCAAAGCGACACTAGTACAGAAAGCAGCTGCCCAAAAAAAGCCTGCAGGAAAGGTGCAGCTCCCCAAAGAACCCAAAGTATGTGATGAAGAAGGCGAGGACACCAAAACAGGTTTTGAAGAAACCAGGTACCCAAGCGGGCAAAGGCAGTGCCAAAGAAAAAACAAAAGAGCTTGAGCCAACAAACAGAAGCAAGGTCAAGAAGGAGAAGAGGAAGAGCAGAAAGAAGACCCAGAGGTTCCACCAGACAAGCATACATTGCACTACAACAATGGCAGGAAGTTCCAGCAGTTGATGGGAAAGTGGCCAAGCCCCAGAAGACTTATGTGCCAGGCAGGACTCATCAAGGCAGACCATAGCAGGCTGTTTGAACAGCCTTCTCCGCATGCGACCGCCGGCGAGTGGGTCCTCAAGCCAGGCAACCCAATCTTCCGTCCAGGCATGCCTTGTAGCGACGTCAAGGATAGCTTTTGACAGCTGCTGTAGCCACAGCCACCCACCATGAGTCTCCCACCCACCAGCACAGGGCTGCCTCAATCGTGGCACAGCGCTGCTGCAACGGAATCGTAGCTCGTTGAATGCCGTTAAAAATGCTGGGCCACTGGAGGCTAGGCATGCGTTGGCTAACTTAATATTCCACACAAGAGAAAGTGCTCCAGGACCGTATAAACTCCCATTGGCAGCTCTTACTACTAGTCTAGGGCCTAGGGAGCACCCCTTGTGTTCCCTCCACTAGCACCCCTTGTGTTCCCTCCAC